AATTGAAGGTTCCTCACATAGCGTAAAGCTTGCCATTGATACTATACTAACAAACTTTCCAGAGTTTTAAGGCAAATGAAGAAGATTTTCATTCACCGTTCAAGATTCATGACAGTTTTTTCAGGAGAAAAGAAAGTAAAAAAAGAAAAATTCACCCACCTTAATATTCACACTTTCCTTCACACTAACAGGTAAACCAAAGAGAAGACCACTTTTGTCAGCCTTTTGATCCAGTTCCTTTGCTCTTTCCTGTTTGAAAAAATAAACATTCTAGGGGAAAAGACAACAGATGAAGAGTACCTGCAAATATCCCCTCAGTCTAGTTTGATTAAAGAGAAGGAAATTTACACATGAGCTGTTATTAACCCTAACCGTACGTCGTGTTTTACTATCATATCCATACGACGTGGGGAACTCTCTGCAACCACTTAACCCTATCCGTACGTCGTGTTTTACTATCATATCCATACGACGTGGGGAACTCTGTGCTACCACTTCCTAAAGAGGAAATCTACTCGTTAATCCAATCAGTACGTTTAGCAGTCTGTCAACATTATTTTTTGAGAAATACTGAAAGTTTCAAAGATATCTTCACACTAGAAGTATTCTAAAATGTGAAGAATACAACCCCTGGGGCACAAAATGACCCCAGGTGTACGGATAGGCTAAGTGTGTGGAAGAAGCCAAATAAAAAGACAGAAGCAGCACAAGGAAAGAAAAAAAGTAGGTCCTCTCAGCGGCACCCTCTAACTGCCCACCCACGTCACAGCACTAGACCAAAAAGCAAAAATCCTCTGCATTGAAGAATCCACAAAAAACAACAAAATATGACAAATACAAAACGCATAAACCAGAATACAACATCTTCAGATTCATATATAATGTTATATCCCTCTCAGCCCGGGTTGGCCCTGAGAGACGGAGTCGAAGCCCACTCCCTAAATGGTCGCTTTTAAGGACAAGCAGGCTAACTCGGATTTCGGGGGTTTCCAGAAATCTTGACCTACACTAAAAGTGGGCTTTGCCTTTCCTATAGTAGAAGTTTGGTTTCACTGGTGTGTGTATTTGTTTGGTTATAGAGAAAACTCTCATTGTCTTTTAAAGAAACTGAACAAGGGGCAAAAACTTTACCTTCGATTTTCTCAAAACAGCATATTTCGGGATAGCCCACGTGTGCTTAAAGGCGACAAAATTTTAATAATCTAATCGGGTGCAAAAAACAAACAAACCAACAAACAAACAAACAAACAAAACAACAACAACAACAACAACAACAACACCCCCCCCCCACCCCCGATGAAATAAATGGTCTAAACCACACTTAGTCAATGACGCCTGCTTCTATCACACTCACACATTGCCACGTTATTGTAATTATGAGAGGGTGAAGGGAAAGGGGGAAGGGGACAAATAAAAGAGAAAGAGGATAAAAAAAGAGTTCCATGGCTAGTGACTGGACAGATATAGCGAGCATGTTCAAACAGATCTCTCCGCAACTTCGCTCGCAGCAATTTGTGGCACGACGTGGTGGAATCAGGCGCTCGTCAATTTTTGGGCATGTGGAGCTATTGATATCACCTGAAAGCTTATTCATTTGCCTTGCTTTGAATGAAAACATTGTCCATCTAGCTTGAATAGAGGTCAGGATATTTGCGATTGAAGAAAGTGGGGTAGCCTGGTTTCAGGGGTTAAATTAATGAGAAAATGGCAGCCAAAGTTTGGCAACTTCAATAGTTTAAGAGTCCTTGAGAACTGAAAATTACATATTGTGTGCCTTTAAACAAGGGTTTTCAGTAAAATTCACATGGAAATGTATTTTCATACAGACATAAAAGGTGTTTAGCCAAAAAACAAAATTTCAATAAAAATGGTCAAACTTGTGGAAATATGCCTTTTTCTCCGATTTCATCATTTTGACGAGCGCCTGGTTTAACCCCGATGCCTCACATTAGTTGTCTGGGGAGATGATACTGACTCTGTCATGGGTTGTCTCCAATTCTAGTCTTGGCCAAATACAATTCCATTCACAACCTACTTTTCCCCAACTCCCCAGCTCCTGGATCATCAGATGAAACTTCTGTATGTTTTTTATTGTTTGTTTTTTTGTTGTTGTCATTTTCTTTGCTGCAACACTGCACATACAATACAAATTATCCAGTATTCTCACAGAATGAAATAAACAGCCATGGGAAGAAAGACAACAGTGAGTAAAGAGATTTGTGAGGCAGCGAGGTGGAATCAGGCTCTCGTCAATTTTGGGGCATGTAGAGTTATTGGTGTCATCTTAAAGCTTGTTCACTTGTCTTTATTTGAGTGACAAAATATCCATTGATCTTGAATACAAGTCGAGATATTTGCGAATGAAGGAGGTGGGGGTCACCTGTTTTCAGAGGTAAAATTAGTGAGAAAATGGCTGCCAAAGATCAGTTATTTCCTTAGCTTTAGAGTCCCAGGTAACTGAACACTTACATTTTTCGTGCCTTAAATCAACGTTTTAAAGAAAAATCCACACAGAAATGAGTTATTTAATGGGCATGAAAGGTGTTGAGCGAAAAAACAAAAATTTGATAAAAATTCGCAAACCTGCGGAAAAATGCAAATTTGTTCACTTTAATTATTTTGACGAGAGCCTGATTCCTCCACGCTGCCTCACATTTTTTGCCTTTGATCTTTGTAAGGTGACAGAGAACGATATAATGTGACGAATGTTGTTCACAGAAAGAAAAGAGTCAAGTCGGCTGAGGAAAAAAAGAAGTCATTGCAGCAATTTGGAGAGTAAGGGCGAAAACATGGAGAACGCCGATTTCGGAGACTGACTCAGTAAGCGCCGATAGGTATAAAAATTCCCTTATGATTTCCAACTTGCCCCACATAGAGCTGACAGACTGCAGGCGGCTTTAAGCTCGGGTCGGCGTTGTCGGCTTTATCGGAATCCAAACTACATTCTCAATACGCCGAAAAACTGGGAAGGGCGTCTCGCTGTCAACTCGAGACCTCAGTGCTTTCTTGTCGTATCTCCATTTTTTAACAGTTAAAATGTGACTTCTTCTTAAGCTCACTCTTTGTTGTGAACTGTTTTCACTGTTATTAAAAATGGAGATGCGACAAGAAAGCACTGAGGTCGCGAACTCTCAATGCCATCTCGCCGTCGCCAACTCGGGTTGAGCAGTTTGCATGACGTCACCCGACTGGACAGGAGACATTCTTAAATGACCATTTCAGAGCTGGTGCTTCACGGTAGACAAAAACTAATTACGTTTTTTAAATCAACGTAGTCAAATTTGGGTGGTCAACAAGCAGAATCACATTTTAAGCAATATTTTTGGAATTTCAAGGTTTTTTTATATCTCCAAATAAATGCTTCAAAAATACCAGCTGTGTTGTGATGTAATTTTCCCCCCCTATATCTAGATCTAGGCATTAGGTGCACTCTATGTGGAGTCAAGCGTCGATCTTCAGCCGCTTAAGTTTCAGCATTCTCTATGTTATCGCCCTGAGGCAGCTGTGGAGTCAGATGTGTGAGACAGAAGGGGAAAAAAATCAGAAGAACAATAGACAAAAACATTTCTTTAATTATTTATAAACTACCTCCGCTTCAGGTAATGGTTCTGTGATACAGTTGATCTTTTCGTTGACTTCAAAGGCCTGGAACAAAAACATACAGAAGGTGAGATTATGCCACATACCAGTGTCATGTCATAAAATAAGACGAACGAACCATATTTCGTCGCTTTTAAGGACAAGCGGGCTAACCCAGATTTCGTGGGTTTCCAGAATATTTACCTACACCAAAAGTGGGCACTGCCTTACCAAGAGGAGAAGTTTGGTTTCATTGGTGTGTATATTTGCGTGGTTATAGAGAAAACTCTCCTTGTTTTTTGTTATTCTTTTAAGAAACTGAACAAAGGTCCAAAAACCTGTACCTTCGATTTTCTCAAAACAGCATTTTTCGGGATAACCCCCTTGTTCTTAAAAGCGACCAAATATCACCTTAATTTTAAGTTCTTGCAGCCAGACGGTGGAAGAGTAAGAGCCTTACAAAACAGAAATTAGAGGAATTACAAGAAAAAAAAATCCCCAACAACTTAAGAAGAGAGTTGAGTAAGGCTTCAGTTCTCAGTAAAGCGTGAGTAAGAGTGGTGTTGAAGAGCAGCTTTGCCATAAAAATATGAGCAGTATAAGAAACATTGGACTGATAATTCAGTAACAAAAAGGTCAAAACTCTTGGGGGTTATTTCACAACCAGTTCTCACGTCTACATGCTTTTCTTTTTTTAAACGGTACACCCCCTCCTCAACATCCCCCCTCCTTCCCTTTTTCAAACCCCAGGAAAATCAATATCTGAAGCAGAAGTTTTGTTGTGCTGTCAAGGACAAAAGATTCAGGACATCAGGGAACATTTTTTGTTGTTTTCTTATGTGCAAACCATACTAGAATGCGTTTAAACCACACGTATGTTGACATTGGAATCAGACTCTAAGATTTTTGCATTTAATGACAGCACTTACTTTTTAGCACAATGAAAGAACATTTTTTAAAAAGATGCATAAAGAACAGGAGAAATTTAACATTTATTTATTATTTCAGTTCTATACTAGACCCATACGCTCAACTGAACTTTTTCAGAACACAAACCTTTCGCTGGAAAGCATGAAGTACTTCAAGTGCACTCAATTTTCCATTCTTTAGGTCTGCCTGGAGGGATTCGGCCGACCTGTTAGCGATGTTCTCTGCTGATCTAGTCTGAGGAAATAAAGGATTCAATTATATATACACCTAAATCAGGGTCCTCTAGTCTTGTGATTAAACGCGTATCAAACTGGTTATCTTAAAATTTTGAAGAGAAGATTATCGAACTCCCC